CAAACATTATACCTTCATTAAACATATATTTTTTAAAGATTAGTGTTATACTTTCGGTCTTGTAGGGAGTATCCAATAAATACAGTTTTAGCCAATATTTGCAATGTCATAATGACTCTAAGCTGACAAATCCAAAAAAATAACGTGACACGTTAAGGAATTACTTAACAGACACGTAACAGATCAAAACAAACAAAATGGCGTACTTGAGCGAAGAGCAAAAAAGTCTTTTATCTCGTAGAAAAAGGTTTTAGTGTGTTTATTAGTGGAAAAGCTGTAAGCTGAAAACCATTTTTAATTAGATATATTTTAAAGGAGTTGAGAAAGGGAGCAAAAACTGCTTCGAGCTTTATTGATACCGAGCGGTTTTATGTCATGTAAAAAAATCTCTTCTTCTGCCTTCTTCATGCACGGTTGTTTCTTGTTAGTGATATTCATTTGTGTTTTGTAAACTAAATATGCCTCCGTAGTTTTGATAGCTTCCCCATTAGATACGGAAAACAAACTATTGATTATTCTGTAGACAAATTGAAATTTCAAATTGAATTCATGACTGTAACGATTTCAAAAACATTCRAACGAGTGACTCAACAGTTCATCTTGAACATAAAATCWTACGCTCATGTTATGTAAATTCATAAATTCAGCTACTTCAAGTTTCGACAAGGGAGCACGTGAAATTTTTGATCGTGTAATCCAGCCATCAATGTGCATAGCAACCGCCTGTGTGCATAGCAATCTGCTTCGAGCATATGACGATAAAATTTCCACCGTTTCATTCCCCTTCTATTACACTCGTCATTTCCTTCCTTACAGGATCGTAAGCCATTCGGATCGGCCGAAACCAAAACACTACGAGGAACGCCTGTCACATGATGGATTGCGCGCGCTTGATAGATCAACCAAGAACAATAACTTTCTTTACACAAACAACATTTTAATGTGCTCCCTCGCTCTAAATATGGTTAACACACTGGTATATAATTAAACAATAAACCCCTTGCAGCATGTCGGAATACAGCTCAATTTCGAAGACATAACAATAGGTTTCAAATTCTCATGAGATTTAAATTATTTTGTTTTGACGTCACATCCAAGAGGTCTATCGAGTACAAGTAAGCTACTAGCTAACTTCATTTAGTTATAAGTA